CTGTAAGTGGAAAACGAATGTAGCAAATTGGACATCACTTGAAGATAAACATGTAGAAAAACATGTCACAAACTGTAAAATATCCAACAATATTGACACAGACATAGACACAGACAAGAAGATGCCTTCTTCAGCATCATCTTAGATGCAGCCGAGGTAACCATTAAAAAAACTGCACTTGTTTCAAAACATAAACCAGTTTCTTGGTGGAATGAACAATGTAAGGCATCGATCGAGGCTTCCAAAAAACACTTTAACAAATACAAAAGACACAAAACACTTAACAATAAAATAAAATTTAAAAAATTAAAGCTAAAGCTCAGTTTACAATAAATACTTCAAAAAAACATTCGTGGGCTCCATTTGTGTACAGTATTAACAGTGGGACTCCTATGTCTGAAATGTGGAAGAATGCCAAAAAAAAATATCTGGAATACCGGCTTATAACAAAATCACTCAACTAAAGAAAGATAATAGAATAATTACAGATGACCTAGAAATATTAGAAGAATTTGCTAATACGTATAAAAATAGATCTAATACAAGCAATTACAACAATAATTTTATCAACTTTAAACAGAACGAAGAATGCAATGTAATTATACCGTTTGTAGATGACACAGACGCTTTAAACTCCAAATTTAATCTAAATTAATACAAAGATGCATTAAGCTCATTCAAAGAGACTAGTAAGGGACCAGATAATATCCCAATGGCTTTTGTTAAGCATTTACCTGAGAATGCACACAATCATCTTCTTAACATATTTAATATTATTTGGACAGAACAGAAATTTCCAACAGCGTGGAGAGATTCTATTATCATACCAATATTAAAACCAAAATATCCCCAAACAGATGCTGAGTCTTATAGACCAATTGCACTAACATGTACTGCATGCAAACTCTTAGAAAAAATGGTCAACCGTCGTCTCCTCTGGACACTTGAAGATCGAAATATTATTATTCCAGAACAAAGTGGTTTCCGACAAAATACACTTGAGTGCAAAAAAATCGACTCAAAATTATTTTGCGAAAGTACGTCTCCTGTTTCAATCAAAAAAGGTGTAAATTTAAAAATATTTGCTGTACAATTATTAAACTGTTTATTGACTTTAAAAAAAGTTTTGATTTTTGGTAAATCGGGTGACTTATTACAAATAAATAATGTAACACGTAAAGAGGGGGTCATAATTTGACCCATTGAAATCGACACGCACCCACTTGAAACATTTGGTTTACATCGTAACCATCAATTTCTATAGCAACCCACTAATACATCAGTCAATTAGGTTCGCAACGTTATAACAAATGGATACCACATCCGTCAAATCAGCTCAAGCAGTAGCATTATTGAGAGAAGCCCTGAGCCAGAGAGCCATGGCAAATCTACTAAATTTAAGCCAATCTGCTGTGTCCCGAGTGTATCCTCGGTACCAAGATACTGGTGATTATGTCCGCCGACAAGGAGGAGGTTGTAAACGAATATCAACAGAGAGAGATGATCGATTTTTTGTATCTAAATCTCTGAGAAATCGACATTTGACTGGTGCTAATCTCAAAGAAGAGCTTAGAGAGGTCCGAGGTGTGGTTACCAACGTCTGGACAGTCAGAAGGAGACTGCAAGCAGCCAACCTGACACCAAAAAGGGCAGTTACTGGTCCCAAGCTAACTGCAGCCCAGATGCTAAGACGACTAGAATTTGCTCGCGAACATCTGGATTTGGACGACTATCAATGGAGTCAGGTATTATTCTCGGACGAAAGTAGGATCTGCCTACATGGCAACGGAACTGTATTAGGTTTTTCGATTCTTGCACTTCTGATTATGTGCTTCAGAGCTAAGTTGAAGAGTTGTGGTGAAGGTGCATCTCCCTGTTTTAGTCCATTGTTTATTACAAATGTGTCTAAGTATTGTTGTCCAACTCTCACCTTACATCGTATCCATTCCATACACATCCGTATCAACCTGACTAGTTTGTTTGGAAAGCCAAGTTCCTGCATCGCTGTCCACAGTCCGTCCCTGTATACTATATCAACTGCTTGTTTAAAATCTATGAACATCTAATGAAGACCACGATCAAACTACCAGCATTTTCCATTATCTATTTTATTGTGAATATCTGGTCAATAGTAGAGCGGCCCGGTCCAAATAGGCATTGCTAATCTCCAATTTCTTCTGTGTATGTTTTGGTTCTTTCTAGCAGAATGTTTGCAAAGATTTTAAAGGTGGAGTTTAGGCGTGTTATTCCCCTGTAGTTATTACATTGCTTTTTGTTTTCTTTTTTGTGTATTGGTATAACAATCCCTTCTTTTCATTCATCTAGCATTATTTCTTTTCGCCAAATATCTTGAATTAGCTTGTATATAGAACTGTACAACGCTTCTCCTCCATGTTTTTAGCATTCTGCGGGTATAACATCGCTACCTGGTGCCTTATTATTTTTGACATTGCCTTGCATTTATAAAAAACTTCTTATATAAAAGGTATATGCGAGTTAAAGTAAATGGTCACTTGTCATCAAAAGTGAAATTAGAAAATGGAATTCCTCAGGGATCTGTTATAAGTCATACGCTATTTATAATTGTCATAATTAATGCTCTACAAAATTTAAAACATTTAAAACCTCTACTTAAAGGCCGCTTATATGCTGACGATCTCGAAATATTTGATCAAAGCAAAAACTTAAACAACCTCTCACAACTTGCACAGACTTTCTTGTAAGATATTAAAAAATGGTCACAGGAAACTGGATTTACCTTTTCAATAAATAAAACTAAATATATAGTATTTTTTAAAAATAAAGTTAGTACACCATTCTCATTATATCTATATAACCAATCACTACAACAAAAAGATTCGCTAAAATTGCTAGGAGTTACTTTTGACAGAAAGTTGAATTGGAAAGAACATATCAATAATCTAACATGTAAAATGTTACAGAAGATTAAATTTACTAAAAATTCTAGCACATAAGAATTGGGGTTTGGACAGGAGTACATCGTTAATTATATACAGAACTATTATACGATCACAGCTAGACTACGCGGCTATAGCTTACGACTCAGCATCGAAATCAGTACTTAAAAAGCTCAAAACTATTTACAACACAGCACTCATTTGTACAACACCGATTGAAAGTTTACGTTGCGAAGCAAATGAATTGTCTTTAAATGATAAAAGAGCTTACCGTCTAACGTATGCAACAAAAATTAAGGATAATGCAAAAAATCCTGTCTATAGAAATACTTTTACTGATAATTTCCCAAACCTTAATGCAAATCACCGTTCTGCTAAACCTTTCTATAAAGAAATAAAAGACCATTTGCATCTGTTTGATATTGTTATACCTAAATGTCTTCCATACACATATGGCCATAATCCACCTTGGATTCAAAACATACCATCATTTAACTTTGAACTTACGTCATTTGATAAAAACTCCACTAATCATGATTTAATTATCTCCCATTTTAGAAAAATCCTTAGTCGTTAAGAAATCATACCCAGATATACACTGATGGTTCAAAATCATTTGAAGGTGTGAGAGCGTCTGTAGTAACTCCAGAGAAAGTCCTTAAATTCAAACTATCTAATATATTATCTTATCAGACTCACTTAGTGCCATACAAAGCATCCGACTGTATCCAACCTGTATCCAAAAAACCCGCTTTAAAAAAAAATTAAAACGGTTCTTCTTCAGGCTTAGATTAATCATAATGAGATAAATTTCATCTGGATCCCATCCCATATAGGACTAAAGGGTACGAAACTGCTGACCATAGTGCGAAGACGCGATAGTGAGTGACGTTTTCGAAATCGTAAACACATCGGTATCAACGGATATAAAAGCTTATATAAAAAAATCAATCTTATGTGAGTGAAAAAATAAATGGAATGTGTGGAATTCAAAATTAAAATAAGTAAAACCTAGCATAGAGGCATGGAATGTGTTACCTACATCAAGAAGCCAAGAAATAATAGTAACGCGCGTCAGACTCGGACATACTAGGTTAACGCACGATTACTTAATTAAAAAGTGCGAACAGCCGCGATGTGAAACGTGTAATACGACATTAACAATAAGGCACATACTATGTGAATGTCCCCTTTATAATCAACGACGAAGTAACAACAAGATAACAGGAACAATTCTAGAAGTCTAGGTGCAGACTGTAACTTTAAAAATATGTACTCTGAATTTCTTTAAAGACATTAATAAGTACCACAACATTTAATAATATACCAATTTTTTAATAATATACCAATGTAATGTACCTAATGCAATTCACTAATTTTTCGCTAATGGCCATTTGGTAGATGCGTTTTTCTAAATAAAAAAAATGACAACAAAGTAAACAAGGGCGTGAAACGAGATAACTCGACTGTTCAACCCTTTTTAACCTGATATTAGAAGCAATAATAATAGAAGAACAAACTTTGTAAACAAAAACATTATCACAGATCAACTTCGAGTAATAGCATATTCAGATGATCCAGTCATCATAGGAAAGACGAAGATGGGACTTGTAAGAGCAATTAAGAAATTAGATAAGGAAGCAAAGAAAATATGGTTAGAGAAAAACCAGCACAAAACAAAATACATGACGGTAATGACGGCCAACACAACAACTTAAAAATATTTAATAACACAGAGTCACAAATTTATAACTGTATTGACCTTTAGCTAGTTGGGGGTAACAATAGGGAAAACAAAAAAAAAAGATCAGAGGGAAGAATTCTAAAAGGAAGAAAACATATGTAATTAACGATTAAAACCTGATGAAAGGCAAGATTTTAAATAAGAAAACAAAAATATGAAACTATATAAGACCTTAATAAGACCTGTTGCTATATATGGGATATAATCCACCCCGATTAACCTACTGAAATTTAAATATTTGTCCCCAAATACGTCTTTCGTCGCTTCGCATTTCCGTTAAAAACTTCAAAATGTATAAGTGTTTTCAATCTAAATGTATTTGGGGATAAAATACAAACCTTAAGTTAATGACTACAGATTGTTTAAATAATGAATCGCAAAATAAATATATGGGTTCATTTCTCCTTTTTTGCAATATAACGGGATATATAACTTCTTTCCATTCCATCCCATGCAATTGTTCTAGTTTTTTAGCAAAAGGGTATCTAGTTTCCTTCTTAATGTTTTCATTGGTTATATTGGACACCCTTGTCTTAACATTAAAGGAAGATCCTCTGTAATATATTGATATCAGCTGCAAGGATTGATAAATATTCTCGTAGTCTAACCATTCTGTAATATCTTCATAGGCAAATGTTGTTTTTACTCGTTTAGATTTCGGTAAATGGTCCGTTTTTTTCGTTTCTAAAACAAATTATGTTAGAATAAATGGTACACCACAGAATTTTACAATTTATAAAAAATTGTATTATATAAGGCAATACACGTGTTTTATTTTTGCTTTAGATTTATTTTAATACAACTGCTTTTTACAAGAAATTTCTAATTTATACTATTTTTTTAAATTCATAAATTATAAAATGCTTATAGTTCATTAAAATGTTACATCTTTTGTATGCCTTAGCGAGCTTTTTTAGAGGATGCAATTTTATTTTTTGATGTGCTGGGAGGGTAAGTATAAGTTTAAGCTCAAGATTGTGGAGTCGTCACCCTTATCCCCAGCCGCCATCTTGGAAAATTTTATCACACATTATGTGTAACAAATTAAATTTCATACATATTTATTTCTATTACGGTAAAATGAAAAAAAAAATGTAACATATATATCTAGCAATTTGTGAACTTCTAGTCATATTACAATAAAATAATGTCGGAACATTATTATGGAGGGTTTTGCAATGTATCATTTTCATTAGACCTATAATTTGTATTTTTCTGATTTTTATAGCGTTCCAAATTTAACCGGGTACTTAAATATTTGCAAGAATACGATAAAAATGAACCTTTTTTTGTTATCCTAACCAATCCACAGTTTCGCTTTAATATTTTTTTCTCCGATGAACGCATTTTTATTATAATGGAATAGTTATTCGTCACAATTACCGTTATTGGTCTGATCAAATCCTAGGATTTTTCACGGAATGCATACAAAGTAGCCAAAAAAATTAAATATATGGCTGATATTTTTGGTGACAGACTGGTGGAATCATTTTTTACCTAACAATTTTAATGGTAAAATGTGTTTGTAATAATTATTGGAAGAAGTGATTATTTCTGTACTGACTGATATAATTAAAAATGAGTAACAATATAATGAAGATTATTTGACTTTTCAACGGAACGGTGCTTTCTCGCATTGTGTTTTACTTGTTCGTCAAAATTAAAAAAAAAAATTCACGGCATTGGATCAAGAAAAGAGGTAGCATTGAGTGACCTCCTTTTTGACCAGATTTGTCTCCCCTGGAATCTTTTTAAAAATTTGTCCAACTGCTAGAATGCATGTGTCGTCTGCAAATATCGCAATTGTGTTAGGTTCTAATGATGGAATAATGCTAGTATATATCAGGTATAGCAGTGGCCCCAGGATACTTCTTTGTAGAACTCCAGCTTTAACTTTTCTTAATTCTAAAAAATATGCTTCCTTATACATATTTAACTTCAAAGTATCTGTCGGATATATATGATTCTAGTAGTTCAGAATATTTTTTTGGTAAGTAGCATTTCATTTTATGATATATACCGTTATGGCACACTCTGTCAAAAGCCTGCGCTTCATCGAGGAAAATTGTGAAACAGACTTTTCCTTCTTCTAGAGCTTTTTCTACTATATCTGTTATATTACGCACCTGATCTATTGTTGAGTGGCTTGCTCTAAACATAAACTGATGATTATGAATTAGATTTTTTTCCTTTATAATCGGTTTTAGTCTCTTCAAGTGTAATTTTTTGTATAATTTAGACATAACAGGTAACAGTGAAATAAAAAAGCTTCTTGTGGAGGTTTTCCTGGTTTTAGTGTCATTATAATTTCTGCCACCTTCCATATCTTTGGTACATACCTCAGTCTAAAGGAAGCGTTTGTAAGATGTGTTAATTTTATTATAGCTTTTATTAAACCTGTTGGCCTTTTGTATATTGCTTCTTGTCCTCTATTTAGTTTTTTAAATTTCTCTTTTTAATTTTTGTGTGGCATTTGTGTGCTGTTGTTCCTAGCAGCTTGTTGTACATTTTTATCGAGTAATTTTACTTCTGCCTCTAGTTGACCAACGGTTCTTAATGAAACTGAGAGGTTAATCTTCTCTTCAAGGTCTATCTGGAAACTTTTTCAATCAGTATTTTTCTTAAAAAGTCTAGAGTTCTTTTTGATAACAGTTTCACTGAGTGTGAGAATAATTGGAGAATGGTCCGAGTTTTCATATCCAATAATTATTTTATTTCTATGTAATTTGTTGAAATATTTCTGACTACAAAGAAGTCGATAAGGTCTGGGATTTAATTTGTGTCAGAAGGCCAGTATGTTGGTTTTACCGTTGATACTGCGTCACATTTTATGTATTTCGTTGCTTGTAAGAATGATATATATTAAAGATACGTGATATAGATATAGACAAAAGAATGGAATGGAATTACAGATTTACAATAAACAATAATTGATTAATTCTATCTGAGGCAAGTTTTATTTTTTACACAATATTTACTTACTTATTCTTTATATTTGATGAGTCGCGTAGATGATGTAAATTGCCTTAAGTATACAAATAAAAAGTAGAAACCCGAGTGCGATATATTAAACAAATAGTTACACAAAGAAATGTTTAAAATATTTAAAAATTCAAAATACATCGATATACTGATTTTACATTTTCTTTAATCAACAACCATCCCTCTGGCGTAATTGTGTATATATTATCACATGATATTTTCCACGCCGCCGGCATGTGTTATTTAATAAAAATTTTAGGTCACTCATATTTCGTTTGTTTTTAAGGGAATAAATAAAAGCGAGTACGTAATATTTGATGCCAATTTAATTAAATTATGTAAAGTCGCAATATTGTGCTTCTGATGAACAAATGTTTATGTTTATTTTATAAATATGTCATTTCAAACCAAAACAAAAAAATATTTTTATTTGGATATTCGGGCTACTGCTTAAGAGCTACTAAAAGCCATACATCGCCGTCAACTTTACGTAGTCCCTACAGGACATGTACACCAGTCTATCTGTGAAAATATAAATGACTTTACGTAAAATTTTATACAGATTTTTAAAGGTATCGAAAGGTATATACGGGGTAGCTGACAAAGAATCCGTGAAGATATACAGCTGATTTTGCTTTCTTTTTGATTTTTTCAGCTTTTTTATTCATTAAGCGGCGCAGTGAGGCTATCGTCATCAATAAACGTTGTAGGCCGAGTACAGCGTCAGTGGTCTCCAATAAACGCCGTACACCATGTACAGCATTACGTCGTTACACAGAATACAGCGTATTTCTGTCGCAGGTAACATTTCGGTTGGTGTCGTTATCAGCTAAGTCCGATCTGTTTACTTTAGTTCCAAAATGGATGACGAAACAGTGTTAACTCTTGATTTAGTGGAAAAGTAAACATTCGTAATTTGCAAGACAGTAAATAAATGCTTACCGAATGTATTTGACGTACGGATGGAACTGAAGTAGTTTTGGTAGTATTTATTAGGGTTAAATAATTAAACAATACCTTAGTTTACCACAAGATAAGTTGTCGTGGCAAAAAACCCATTATAATATAATACATTGTAAATACATGTATTTGTTAATATTATTTAGTTTATTAATAAAAATATAGTGTTGTTAAGAACTTATCACGGACATCAATTTTTATGTGACTCACTTATTTTTTGTGTTTATTATTATTACTTTTATAATTATAATTTTAATATCTATTATAATTATATATACTTGCTGGCATCATATATTGACCTGATACTTCTGATCATTCAATTAAAAATTCGTATTTGTCTCTTTTATGAATAGGTAACTTGACAATTTTTTTTTTATTTGTTTATTCTATTTGTCTACATATAAAAACAACGTATACCAAATATCAACTCTCAAATCGCAATATTTAAGTTACAATAAACATTTAAAGTTATGATCATCAGCTTTTCATTTTAAACAACACGACGAGCTATATGACGTCACGCAGCTCGTTCCAGGACAAGAGAACAACGAACTGGCAACACTGTTGCTACAAACTGTCAACTGTAAAAACATTGACAAATTGACATTGTGTTTTGAAGGTTTTTGTTATGGATAATTTCTTGTTTCTTTTTATTATCTGTGCTTTAATAATATCAATAATAATATTGGAAGCAACACAAAATTAATATTACATATATTGTATGGTTCCCATGAGACATATTTTTCACAGAAAACTACAGTCCACGTATGTGAGGATCATTTTAAAGTGAGTATAAAAATCAGACTATATCTAATTATCTACATATCATTATACATAGTTAACTATTTTATGCTTATTTGTTTGTATGGCGTTTATAACTATCAATATATTATGACTAATTCTGTTTTCTGTTCCAGTAAATTCGAAGTTGTTTACAGAAACCTTTAGCCCCTTATTTTATGAGTAATCCACGTCTCGAGGCTTTTCGAACAGTTGAAAAACGAGTCGAGCGCCTTCACCAAAATACGAGATTATTCAAGAAGTTCGCCGAACTTTCGAGATGACAACAGCCGTAGAGGCAGCCGTAGAGCCGTAGAGGAGACGGATGATTTCGAACAACTGAAGAAGAGGTTAAATATGCGATATGGCCACGAACACTTGGAGCATGTACATCAGTCGCAGCTCAAAAATCGAAGACAAAAGAAAGATGAGGCTCTTCAAGAATATGAAGTAGATATCGCCAGATTAGTGCGATATGCTTATCCAACAGCTCCCGAAGACATGATGGAAAAGTTGGCCGTTCAAACGTTTATTGATGGTCTTCGTGATCATGAGATGCAAAGAACACTACGATTAGCTCGTCACAAGACGCTGATGGATGTCTTATCTGCCGCCCTCGAATACGAGTCAGCTACGCAGGTCTCTGGCGGGTATAGCAAAGTTAGGACTGTAAAAGAGGAAGGAGATGAAGATAAACTTGACCAGCTCTTTAATATGATAAAAAGCATGACACACAAGAAAACAAAGACCATAAGACCGAAGACAAAACCAAAACGCGTCGGCCTTAGGGGAGCAGCTTCGACCCAGAACTTTACCAAAGACCCTCTGATACTAATAGCTTCTTTGAAATGTCATGAAGATAGTGTATATGTAGATGGAGAAATAAATGGTAAAAAGCATACGTTGTTGGTGGATACTGGAGCGACCAGAACCATTATACGCCCGACAGTTATAAACAACCGAAAGAAACTGTTACCAACGAGGTTGCGACTTCGGACCGCCACAGGTGAAAATGCCAACATTCATGGAGAAATCCAGGTACAATTAGGAATTGGAGCAGAAAAGTTCGTCCATACTGTTATAGTTGCTGACATCGAAGAGGATGTTATATTAGGAATGGACGTAATGAATACGCATGGATTCCAATTGGATTTTAAGAATAAGGTCAGTCATAAGAAGATCGGGAAACGCGATTTAATTGTAACGAAAACGTAAATAAATTATTTGTAATATAAATTAGGATTAATAAAGACTTTAATAAATTAGTAATTAGTTATCGTGAGTTTTAATAAATTAGAATAAAGACAAATAAATTAGAACTATATAAATATACAACATTTGCTTCACAATGCAGTAATATTTACTAAGAATAGTATTACTGTTGTATTACAAATAACCTTGTTTTTATTGTTACTCTAATTATTCATAATAACACATATTTTTATATGGCTTATTTAGTTATTTATTTATTATAGCTTAAAAAAGACATGGATAACTATGTTAAATACAAGTTAATGAGTGGTCAGAAAAAAGTGACAACAAATGTAGTACCTCATATATTTGATTGCCAGCGAAATAGAACAAGATCTTTTGAAAATCATCCCAGGGCAGCAGTTACTAAGAGAACTGCAAATAGAATTGTTGATGAAGCTATTTATTTGGTGCCACAAGACCCAGTTTTTATTCAGGAGATAGTTGCATGTAGTAGTAAGACCATTCACCCTATGGAAAGTCAGCTGGAAACAAATGACATTAAAGTTTCGAAAAGGGATGTCTCTTCACAAACCTGTCCTAGTGTTAATACTAATGGTGTACAATGTAACCTACAGTGTGGAATTACAGTAGGGTTATCGCCAATCAAAATTATTCGTCAACGTAGAGATGGAGCCATCAACTAGTTATGTGACAAATATTTCTGAAACTACTTTAAGGATACAAAGTATTGATCATGAAAATTTTAGTAAAACTGTTAGTGTAGAATTCAGTATAATATACTTTAGCGCCCGGTGAAGTAAAAAAACTTAATGATGAAAAGATAACTAAATTTAAAAATCTGACAATGAATTGTACTATTACAAAATTACAAAACAGACCTAGATTGTATATGGGATTACCAGAACTGCATGTCATACTATACATTTCAATTGCTAGAAAAATGTTGCACAATAAATTATATCTATATATTTTTAACACTAAAAAAATCAGTACTGGACTTTCGTTTATAGCTCTAACAGATGATTTTTTCATAACTGAAAGTTATGCTTCAAAAATAATTTCAAAATTTGTTCCAGTTATAAATAAAGAAATGTTAATACCTCAGGTTTCATTCGTGAAATCAAATTTCCCAATAGCTTTTCGAGCTGGATATTGTAATGTTTATTGTATAATTGATTATTTAGAAATAGAGAAACCAACAGATGCAGTGAAACAATCATTACACATGGTCAGAATATAAAAAATGTAATACTCTTAAATATTTAATATGTTTCACTTCTGATGGTATTATAAATTATATATCGACAGCATTTGGCGGTAGTATATCTGATGCTGTCATTGTAGAACATAGTGGTTTTTTAAATATTTTACCTGCAAATGTTGCTGTTATGGCAGATAGGGAATTTAAACGTATTGATAATTTACTTAGGTAGAAAGGTTGTGTTCTAATTAGGCTACCGAGTATGTCTGTAGGTACAAAACCTAGTAAAGATGAGGTACTTGAAACCAATCGAATAGCTAGCTTGAGAATTCATGTGGAAAAACTTGAGAAATTGAGAGAATTTTTAGTTTTAGCACCATATGCATGTATTGATAATAAATTGTTGTGTTATTCAGATATTATCAAAATAATGTGTGGATTAATCAACCTACAATCAGGAATAATTTAAAAGTGGTTACTTTTTGTAGGTAGTTATTTAGTTTTCAAATTTTAGAATGTTTTTAATGCGAAAAGAAAATGGTTGAAAATAACAGGTAAAAACCTGTTATTTTATCTTATTATTATTTCACTATTTGCAATATATATATATATATATATATATATATATATATATATATATATATATATATATATATATATATTTAATGTACACTGTTGTTGATCTTCGGTTTTTCCATATTTTCTGAATTATATTTTGGTGCTGTGCAGGCATTTTACTTGGTGAGATGTTACCAAAATAAAATTTAAAAAATTTGGAAAAACTGAATGTCAACACCAGTTCACATCCAAATCTTAAATACAAAGTAAAACTGGTCGTGCTGTATATAAATATATTATCATTTTTTTGAATAAGTTACATAAATGTGTAAATAAATTATATTGCAAGAAGTTGTCTGTAGCATCCATTAACATCTTCATGACATATTCTTCATCATATGGTTCAACACAAAAGAATGCTTTTTGTTTCTTATATAGCTGTAGCTGCAGTTGAGTTTTGTTGCTGTAATTTCCATATTTTTGTTAAATAGTTATAAATAGTTTTCTCAGACTGAGGACATTTTATTTCAACTACAAATTCTTCAGATATAGCATCTAGAAAAGCCCCAAATATTAGATGCCTGTGATTAAATTGGAACCCAATATGACTGAGTTTCATCTTTAATTGTTTTTCTAATAATTTTAATTAGAGTATCCTCGAGCCTTTTTCGTCGAGATACGGCTTCTGTAGTAGGAAGTTTGGTTAACCAGGGAACTATTAACCAGGTTATCCTTGACGCAGTTATTCTTGCTTATCGCAGGTCAAACCATAAATTGGAATTGGACTGTTCAATCGTTATTGCTGCAGCTTCAGAACATAGTTGGGGATCCATTTCCTGATAACACAATTCTAGAAATTCTAAAAAATTCAGTGCCGTTTCCGAAAAATCATTTCTGCTAATAAAATTTAACATCAATTGATGTAGTCCAAGATGTTGCAAAATTCTGTTAGGCTTGAAGTGTTTCAATAGCTGACTCTCAACATTATATTTTAGTCCTTGGTTCACAACTTCATTGCGCCAAGTTAAAAAGCGTACCAACCGCACGTTACAATGCTTAAAAATAACTAAAGACGATGCGTCCAATATTTGAAACCAGATACAGCAATTTCACGCTGCTTTCGGCATATAATAGACACCGCAACTATTATTTATTCTTTAAAACATGCATACGCGACGTATGCCGTAACGTTATAAGTGACGTACCGGCTGTGCAGCCACGTACAGCAGTTGGACGCTGCGTTTAGCATACGATAAGATACCGCATTCATTATTTATTGTATTAAGCATATAGACGCGACCTATTGCGTGACACGTTACATTGTACGCGGCATACGGCGTTTAGTGGCGACCACAGCTACGTTTTGTAGCTCATAAAAGAAACAAAAAAGACGTAAAAATTTGAATCAATATTATTGACGAAATACCTATGTATTATAATTAGATGTCAGATAGGATTAAAAAACATTTTTAATAGAGCCACCCACTTCAGTAAAATTTGTGTTTTGGTGCCAACCGTAAACATAGCTTTTAAACTTATTCATAACCTACAAAAAAGCAACAGGAAATCGTTCAAATGTATCAAAAAATGCTAAAAGATTTAAAAAAGTTTAAAATGTTAAGAAAGTCTCATCGTACAGTTTGGAGTAAAAGAATGCACGAATTTGCATATTTTGGCGACAACTAGATCCAAAAATATAAATGCAACCTTTCTAACCATTGTTTACATTTCAGAAATTTGTGGAGCCTTCTTTTTATAATATTTTTTTTTGTCATAAAATTCTGATAGTGCACATAAAGAAGAAAACCAAAATTAAAACTACATTTATATCAAAACATTTTTAGACATAGCCAACTTGTCTTTTCCACTGGTTTTGAATAACTTTAAATGTTATTTACCTTATCTAATATCTACCTTTATATTAATCTGTTCTTGATCCGTATCTGTATAATAACATGGAAAGTTAATTATGTTTCCGTTTTACCTTTTAATGTCTATAATTCACGTTCATAAAATCAGACAGTAACATAAAATTATTTCAACAAACTTACCTGGTACTACAGCAGTATCTAAACTATGGTCTTTTTGAACCATAAAAGAGTATTTATCTCTAAATGGGTCAACAGTTAAAAAACTTTTAATTGGATTCAAAGGAGCCCTAGGGTTTACAATTTTCTCTTTAATAGCCCAATCGATCCACCGATATCTTTTCCAAGGTTCATGTTCTAAAATAAAAAGATTTACACATATATTTGTTTGGTCTTTTTTCAGGCTATAAAAATATTAGTTTGTATTTTTTTTTAAGCTATAGTTAATTTAAATACCAATACCAATGCTGATGGATCGTAACCCAAAAAATATGAAAATTTATTTTTGTGTCAAAGACAACCAACCGTGTATCCCTATAATGCTGTTAAATTCTTGCACTTATGTTATCTATAACTTAACTTATCTTATCCCACACTGTAGCTGAATGGATATAATACCGATTAAATTTTGAGTTCGTACAATTAACGATTTATTTTTACAGACAAGCATTCAATAACACCCAAATGTTGGAAAATGCTACTAAAATAGCAGCAAATTTAGACAAAAATTATTGAACGGTATACTGAAGAGTCACCCTTAATATAATCAACGAAAAGTTTGAAACTGACTAGTATATCAGGAGTGCATGATGGTGGTGTAGTTTATGATATGATAGTAACGGAAGAACATCCTCCTGACGATTTATCTGGCATTCTAAATATTGAAAATGTCACTTATGATATAATTACTGAGCTTCAACAATGATAACCTATAAAATAACGGATCCAAAGAAGCTCATAATGGAGAGCTGGACGGTCAAGAAAATGTACAAGGATCTGAAGATATTAAACTAGAAAGTAAGGGTCTCAACGAAAACGTCAAAGATTCGAAGATCAAGAAATAAGATTCATTAAAAGGCGCAAAGTTGCGAGTCCAAATAACTAGGACAAAAACCAGACAAAAAAATCAAGAATGTTAAAAGAAAAACATACTGGTAATAGAAGGCTATTAAAAATTGTGAAACACGATATTTCACGCACCCTGAACGTAAAATAAAGGCAGCTTGCATATATATACATATTCTTTTTCTTCTTGTTCTTCTTTTTATATAGACATGACTGTTTTTCAATGTGCCTCCAGGAAGTTTTCTTGGTCTTTCTACTGATCGTCTTCCTATTGGAGAACCGTTTCTTGCCGTCTTTACTACTTTATTTGTTGTCATTCGGCTTATATAATCATTCCATTCTACTTTTCTATTTCTTACCTAGTTTTTGATGTTCTCAACCTACCTTGCATCTATGTCATATATATGAAATTCTAGCTCCCATAGTGTCCCATAGTGTCTTACCATTAATGTTTTATCTTTGCTGTTTGTAACATCATTTTTGTCCTCTTTGTGTCAAGTCTTGTTTCTGCCGCGTATGTCATTATTGGTCTGATGACTGTTTTGTAAATTCTTTGTTTCGTTTCTTTTCCGATATTTTTGTTTTAAGTAAATAAAAATATGGTTGTAAAGAAACAATATGTTTACATAAAAGTAGAAAAAAAAATGTTACGTAGAAGGACCTTCCAGGCAAAATAGTACCTATAAGTACTTTCTTTAGTTCAAGATAATAAATTACCATCTGTGTTTCTTAAAATACTTGGGGTAGAAGAAAAAGTAGTAGAGAACTGGGTAAGGGCGGCACGAAAAAATGGATTTCTAGAAAGTTGTGCCATGATGCAAACAAGATCAAAGGAAAAAGAAAATCTACACTAAAAATAGAAAAATTATTTTACGAGGACATAAATTAAGAAAGTTTCTGAACAGGCTGCCTAAAATAAGGAATCTACTGGACTTTTATAACTGACACGTCATTTTAAATACAAAACTAAAGTATATAATCTTAATAAACACCAGTGTATAGACAGGAAGGTACCATTATTAAATTAAATATTCTCTAAAGAATTTGACGAAATGCCTTGAGCATTGTTAAAACCATGTAAGGGCCAATATGATATATGTGTCATTTTACAAGATGTAGCAGGTTGCAGACGAACAATACGTAAGCTACATTAGAGCAAAAACCCTGGTATGTGTCGAAAAATAAACCGAAAAAGCAAGAGCTATCCATAAGGAGATTGATTATTTGGTCGTTGATGTGCAGGCAATAAAATTGTATACAGTGTTATGGGCTAGTTTTCTGAACAATACAATAAAGCTGGAAGTCCATAACTTTACAGTAATTAACTTGGAGAACCATCGCATAATGAATTTCGTTTGGAATAAGACTGTAGCAGACGTTGATTCATCTGTATTTAGTACGTGCTTAATTAAACATCTAGAAAATTATTTAAGCTTTGAAAAAAAAATGTTTTAATATTCATGGACGGTTGTGACTATCAGAATAGAAGTATCATCATTGACAATGGTTTATAAGCTTTATCTTCCAAATAGGAAATCGAGATTGGTCATAAAATACTAGGAAGAGACCACATGCATACGGAGTGTAACTAGTCTACCCACAGTCTTATGGAACGAAAACTAAAAAATCGGCAAATATTTTTACAAATTCCGCTACAGCTCAATTTGTCCAGGTAAATTAAAAAGAAATTTAAAGGTAACAGGTCTTACAGCTTAAAAATATCTACCAAATGGTGACATATTATACCAAGAAGATCCTGACCACTTATAGGGGGTTGAATCTGAAGACAGAAATTACTGGGTTGAAAATAGGATAAGCTAAAAACTAAAACATATGAGAACGGCCACTCTTGGTTTGGTTGGAGCGCTAGGTCATAAGTAAGTAAATAAAAGCGGGACTAGGAGAGGGAACTACAAAAAGAGAAATCAAAAGTACTAACACAGATTTCCTGGGCAACATACAAAATAAGGTTTCTAAACTATTTAAAAAGAACGACGTTTACAAGAATCTTCCTACTGGATGGAAAGAAAGTCTTTTCTTAAAAAAGAAAATATATATTGAACGGGTGAAAAATCTTTTTCTAGAAATAATAAGATTTAAAAATAAACTTACAATGGTGCTATTTTTAACAGTTTACAACAAACTCCAGACGTTGGGGATACTATAGGATTTTAAATTATTATTGAAATGAAAATATCTACATTTTTCAAAGAAACTTAAATTAAGGTTAACCTTTTAAAACAAAACAAATAAATTTTATGGTTGTGTACCAATTGTAAGAAAAAGATAATACTAAATGTCATATATAAAAATGAAATTTTTAACCTCTTGAAACATTAATTAAATTTTTAAAATTATTAGCATTTACCTAATATGACAATGAGCTAATCCATAAAAATTATAAATTTTATTTATTACAATTTTTTTAGTTTGTCATGAAAGCAAATTTTTTATTAACGAAAATGTCTATTATTACTTAGTAAAATTTTAACAAAAAGTAACTTATATCACTCTGGGTAATGTATTACCTTCAAGTTTTTGGGTTTGGAACTGGATACAAAATACTGCAAAATAACATACAACTGGGTCTCATTTAAGCTTCAAATTGGTCTGAAATGATCAGGGAACACAAATAGACAATTCCTTGGAAGTTGGACACAACGATAAAAAAGGATTGAAAATATTTTTCGGTGTTTTGATACATGCAGGGTGATTTAAAATGCTACAATCAAAAATATAAACTTCTTTCTCAAAGAACAAATACCGCCAATCACGATTTGATTTACAATCAACTTCATTCAAATAGATTAAAAATAACCAAAAATAAATGGAACGACCTCAAGAACTAAAATATGTATCTACCACCTTTCTTCTGCGCGTTGCTTCAACTATACGTTGCCTCACCAAGACTTAATTATCAAAGAGAATAACAAAAACCAAAAAAAAAAGAAAGCCAAAATTTAAACGGTATTTTATCTTAGTATTTATCTATTTTTCCTTCCTTAATGTTAACTGTTATGTTATTTAAATGTTATTCCTTTAGTTTGCTACATTTTATTTAAAGTGATCACATATTTTTTTATATGTTTTTATTCAAAATTAATAAAAATAAACAAATAAGGATCATGGTTTAAAATGGAGTAAATGTATCGTATGGAGAAACCTTCGTGGTATTAATTGCAGACACCAATTTAAGCGATTAATCTTGTGCTGTCTGGTTAACTCGGGAATCTGTAACCGTCTACTGTTCTATAGTCCTTGGGCACGACGTCTTCTTTTTTTTATTTTAACTGTAATACTTACATCGTTACCATCCAAAAGTTGTTTTGGTGTTGCGGGTGGGAAATTGTTGGGTCTCTTCTAGCTACTTGGACTTTAAAATGATGGTGACAAGTCGTTGTTAATTTTGGCGACTTAATCTTGGTTTATTCTTAAACGTTCCTTTTTGTCACAACACTCTGTGTTACGTGTACCACTGCAGCTATGTCCCCCTAGGAGACATTCCTTGCTCCGCAAGACCAATAAACTTTTCCCTTTGAACATCCGTTAACCCAATCCGATGACAAGTTTTTTTAAAAGAAATAAACAGTGGTTTAAAATACATTGGTGATTCTATATAAGTTTATATATTATATATATATATATATATAATATATATATATATATATATATATAATATATATATAATATATATATATATATATATATATATATATATATATATATATATATATATATATATCGCACCCTCAGTAATATAGAGGCACAATTCAAAAAAGTTAATTTGTGGGAAATCGCGTTTAAAGATTCTGGTATCCGACATTACAGCTATTTTTTCAAATAACGTGCTTATTATTTAAGTTATAAATATGAAATTTGGCAGATTTGTTATTTGATAACTGCTCTAAAAATTACAATGAGGAAAAAATAATAATATAAATAAATTCTATTAATTACAAGGAATGGAAAAAACTACTTTCGAGTTAGTCCCGTATAGTATAAAAAACCATAACAGAAATAAGGAACTATTAAAGTTTGATCCCTTATATTATTAGTGTACCTGCCTAGTGTTTAATTTTTAATCGTAAATGGTACTCTATATCACCAATTTCAACCGATGTTTGAATTTATTGTTTCTGTTTTATAAATAAAATATCAGGTAAAATAATAGTAATACTTTATTAATCAGTGCAAAATATAACAATAATCTAAAAAAAAATCAAAACAACAGTTAAACATAATAAGATAGCTTTAATATTATCACATTTATTATTTAAACTTTTTAATTCCAA